ATACATTAACAAAATTATTGTAACATTAAAAGAACATTTTCATGGTAAATAAAATACTTGTAAGAATTTATTACTTGAGAATTGAGATAAGAGCAAATCGAAAAAAATCGTACTTGAATGGTTTATTTTACGTTCATAAGGCTTGAGTTGTTTATATTACGATTGATGATTCTTTATTTTGGTTATTAGAGTAGTTTATTTCAAAAAAATGTTATTGGGCATTTAGATGTATACCTAATTGTATTTTGGGCTTCCAATTTGATCCGTAACTTCAGCGCAGGCAGTGCTGCAATGGTAAAAAGTTTGGGTGAATGCTGTATTTAAAAAACAAAATTAGTGAATGCACGCAGAGGGTTTCGAAAACGCGACATGAAGCATTGCCTAATTCTAAATGCCATTTTCATACCATCTAGGCTAATGAATATATTTGAGGTATAGCTTGTGCACATCCTGATTATAATGTAAGTCCGCCACTGACCTCAAACCAAACATGACCTTAGAGTTACAATTCTTCTAGCTATAAATACAAGAGCATTCATTACACACATTTCAAATTCCAATTAATTACTTTAAATAAAACTGAGAAATCTTCATCTACTTTCTTCCCTTTTTATTGGAGTCTTCTCGCATAGATATTTCTGCCCAACCAACAGGCCATTTAAATCTAAATGCAGACCCACTTGAAAAAGAAGATTTTGAGCATGTACTAGCAACCCAAAACACACAAATAGTCATAGGAATAATTGACTTAACTGAACATGTAGCAACTGAAATCTCAATCTCAACCAAGAAACAAAAAAGGCCTAAGTTGACCTCTCAAAATTGCAGCAAGCTAATTGACATGTTATTGGTCAGGCTGGTGAAGGTAAACTTCATAGGGGTGTGATAACAAAATTAGTCACCCGGTTTAATGTTTCAACCCGAACGATTCATATCATATGGGCCAAACCGCCAAAGCAAAGCAAGAGATGCAGAGGAGATTAGAGCTGTCAAACGGGCCAACCCGACCCAATCCGCTCGGACTCGTGACGGGTTATGCTTTACGTTGGTTGGGTCCGGCCAACCCGTTTAGTGACGGGTTAGAGCTTTTACAACCCTAACCCAACCCACCTAACCCGCGGGTTAAACGGGACGCCCCACGAGCCAATGTATAGAAATATACATGACAAAATACTTTTAAAATAATTACCAATAGTAAACACCAATATTGTTAATATATATATTTAGATTGGTAGGTGGTACTAAAGGAAATATAATATATCAAAATACTTGTTAGGTTAGTTAAAGAATATTAAAATGCTCATTTTACAAATGAAAAGTAAAGATCTACTTAAATCGTTTTAGTGATTATTTGTATATTAGAACTAATATTATTTGAATATTATATTCAACTTTACTTAAAATATATGTTTAAACAATTTATTTGAATAGCTATTCTAGATTTTATTTGACCAGTTATTATAGAAATAATACTACATATATAATTATTTTCCAATGGTTGTAAAATGATAAGTATATAATTGTAATTATAATCCTTTCAATAAAAATTGTAATTATAATAATTTTGATAGTCAAAGAACAATATTGAAGATAATGATAGTCAAAACTATATGTTTTCATTTTGGTCTGTGGGTCAACCCGCAACTCGTGCGGGCCAACCCACTTAACCCGCAACCCGGCCCGCGTGGGTTGACTCACGAAACCCGCTAATGAATCAGGTTAGAAAATGACAACCCTAACCCACCAATAAATGAGTTGAAACGGGCTGGACCGTGGGTTTCGGTCCATCTTGACGGCTCTAAAGGACATGCCATACATGTCGAAAGCAGGATGAAGTGGAATGTTGGAAGAAAAAGTGTAAGTTTTGAAATGCAAAAGATTTCCCAGGTTCTCTTACATAAGAGGAAGAATCAGAGAGCACTTGCATATGCAATGGAAGTTTCTAAAACATCTTTGCAAAGGTGGTACAAGAGTAAGCAGATAAGAAGACATTCAAGTGCAATCAAACCACTTCTAACGGAAGCAAGCAAATTAAAAATGTTACATTTTGCTTAAGTCAAATAATTTCTCAATCAATGCATACAACACAAACATTTCATCATTTTCATGATTTTGTTCATAAAGATGAAAAGTGGTTTTATTATTTATCAAAAGAAACTACCACAGTTTTTTACACCCTTCCCACAGAAGATCCTTGAGAACAGCTCAATCAAAGAAATTTATTCCCAAAATCATGTTCCTGGCTGCAGTTGGGAAACCTAGGATTGCTGATAGTAGGCATGTGGAGTGGGATAGGAAAATAGGGATATTTCCATTCACAAATGAAGACAAAGCCAAGAGATCAAGCAAAAATAGGGTTGCTGGGACTTTAGAAACCAAACCAACATTGAGTGTCACTAGGCAAGTAATGAAAGAAATGATACTCAACACCCTACTGCCATCAATCAAAGTCAAGTGACCACACTCAAAATACAGACAAGTGGTCATACAACAAAATAATGTCAGGCCTCATATTGAAATACATGATGCAGACTTTTTTAAACCAGGATCAAAAGAATGATGGAATATCCAAGTACTAGATAGACTCAAGTTTCTATAGGTCTATTGACTCCATAAATGATCCAAAGGTCCCAAAAAACATCATTGATATAATACAAGCAGCGCAAGCCTCATATGAGGAGGGAGCTCACACCTCAAACATTGAACCATGTCTTTTTGAGCTATCTATTTGTAACAGAAGAAATCTTAAAGCACAAAGGAGGCAACACTTTCAAGCTCAAACGTGTGGGGAAAGACAAGTTACAAAGACAAGGGCTGCTACCAAAAAAGTGTCCAGATCTCCCCTGATGGGTGGGGAAAGACAAGTTGCAAAGACAAGGGCTGCTATCTGAGTATGGTATGAACTATGTTCATGGATGCCTTGTATAATTAAGTGAGGTTGACTTGCATGTGACGTCACTTGATTGTGCGGTGGTTGGACACGCGCTTGGATGCAGTCTTGGGCATGACATCCCAGGTAACCAGACCTCAGAAGAATACAGAGTCAACACATTTTCATCACAGTTCACTTAGCATAAGCAAACACACATAGAGAGGACCACATGATACATATGTTAGGAGACCACACCTCATAATCATTACAGATTCATCACATGTGACTTAGCATAGGCAAACACAGATAATCATGAGCACTGGTTACATATCCTAGGCTAACACACCTCATAATCAATACAGAGTGATCACATTTTCATAACATGTATTTCGACATCGGCAAACACAGATAATCATGATCCGGGTTACATATCCTAGGCTAACCATACACATATATCCATCTTAAGCAAACACAGCGTACATTCATTAAGCGAAGAGGGATTTATTCCTAAACACAAACACCCATCATAGGTGAATCAAAACCCTTAAATCATCATTAGTCAAACAACAAGTCAAACTGTTCAATCGTCATGCAAGGCTAAGACAACACCCCCTTAATCATCATAAGTCCATACAAGTATACAACATTAAAGACACAAGGAGTAAGGGTTCAGATATCAGTGTCCTTATGAACTCCGTTCGTTGATGTTGTCTTCCCCACCACCGTCGTCGCTTTCTCGTCCTTCTTCCTGCGCCGGTCCAGAGTTCACTTCATCTCCATCGTCTGAATGCAGCCCGTCCAAACCGTCGAATGTGTTCGACACGAGGTTGGATCCATATTTATGTGGAGATCAGTTTCAGTTGAGTTTGAATAACCAAAATGAGCCACACTCATACACAAGAATCACTAACTCACTATCCATTTTGCAAGAGTCTCATCCAATAGATTAGTTTGCTTGAACTCACGTTCAAGCCTATATCTAGTGTTACTATTTTCTTTTATATGCTAGTAATAGTGTACTAGACTCATCATTTTTTTGGACTGGCTGGTCTCGGCTCGGAACCAGGACCGAACCGATCCAGATCCATCCTTAAGTGTGATGATTCTCTATTCGATTTCCCACCATAACCACAAGGTGCTTTCCACTAGTTAGAAAGGCTACAATAAGGTATCTATCGAGAGAGCTATCACAATCAGGTACAAACAAATTACCCCGCCCCGCCCCCCTCTTTTTAGGGAGTTTATAGGCGAAAAATGGTTTGATACACCCGGCCCATTCACATGCTTATCGTATAGGCTGTAAGCTTCCAACTTTCCAAGTACACAGTACCCCACTAAAAGTATACTAACGTTTCATTACATAATAGGATAGTATGTAGTAATGATATTTGGGCCATGACACATAATTGCTACTTTTATGTACTCCCTCCGTCCCTATTTATTTAGCCATCTTTCCTTATTTAGCCGTCCCAAAATACTTAGCCATTTTCCATTTTTGGTATATAAAACAAATGGAGTGCCTACTTTACCCTTATTGATTACTTGAGCTTTTCTGAAATATCTTACCCCCGACCCAGCAACTTCGAAGCATTACTTCCCTTCCCTAATAGTTTCTCTTTCACTCTCCTCCCGTTTTCTTAGTGTCTCTCTCCTTTTCGAGAAACCCTACCGCCAAATACTCTGTTGTTGAAGAATCGGGTGAAGGTATCCGCAGGATACTTCCTTAATTCCCTTCCCGACCCACAGCTCTGAAGACGTGTCCCTCTCCATTGTACTTGAGAATCCGGCGGTTGAAGAATCGGGTGAAGGTATCCGCACGATACTAGATCTGGTCGAAGAAGAACAAGCAAGAGCTATTTCAGATGTCGTAAAAGGAGAAATTCAAGAGTTTGGGGAAGATCCAATTGAAGCAGCGAACTACTTGGTAGTTAGGAATTCAAAAATGAAGACCCATTTCCCTGGCCGTGAATCTGGGATCCAAGAATGAAAGCTACGAACAATACTTTTGCTTTGCCCTTATTTTTCTTTAATTTGGGGCTGTCACTTGTGTGAATGTAAAGCTACTGTTGTCCCTGCGAATATATTGTACAGGCTTTCCGTCATTTTAAAGCAGGGGCAAGTTTGTCCGGTCAACTCCAAATACTCCTTTTCCTTATTTCATGTGCCAGTCAACATTGGCTAAATAAATGGGGACGGAGGGAGTATGTAACTATTTCATACTTTCATTTAGCCATGGTCTTGCCACTATTAGTTAAACTTATTACATGCAAAATACATAAAAATTTAGTTTTACTTACATATTTCTAAAAACATAAAAATAGCAATTGTAATTTGTAAATCAACCACTGCCGCACCGATACAGCCAGCTGTCGCACCTCCATGTTCACTGCGGCTACCAGTTTATGCTTGGAACAGAGTCTAAGGAATAATGACCAAGCCTTCCTGTCCGGTATAAATTGAGTAATTTAGAAGCAACCTTGTGTAAATCATCTACTGATTCTGAGGACAAATGGAAAGCTTCCGCCAGATTTGCATACTCAACTTCGATGAGATGTAACAAGCTGTTTTCTTCATCGAGGTTTCCACTGAATGACGAAATGCAATGATAAAGCGTTTTCCTAACATTGTTCACAATAAAATCCTGCAGAAATGGTCATCATATATCATTTCAAGCTGTCGGGGTAAGGCAAGGAATAGAGGGTGATTTAGAAAGCTTGATGAAGAATTTCATAAGGCACAGGCACTCATTGGAATTAATTTGAAAGCAAAATGAGTTGAAAATATGTCTAAATTCAACTTCCTCTTTCTAAAGTCATATTCCATTTGTCATTTAAAAAAGGTACGAATATACCCTTCGTGTTTACCTTCAAGTGCAGGTATGCCCCTAAGGTTTAAAAATGTACCAACAATATTCTTAAAAATTTAACAAATAATTATGGTTTTTGAATTGATTTTTAAAAAATGTGTTGAGAATTTTAAAATTTAAAAAACATTTTGCGCTAAATGTTTTCTTTTATCTTAATAATATTAAATTTTGATACGGAGTATAAAATTATAAATCTTAATAAGGAAGCATTAAACACAAAATCTTTTATTTTTTTTATTTTTTCATTTTTGAACCCAATATATTCCTATGTTTAAAGAACCAGACCGGCCGGTTCGACCCGGAAACCGGTCACCCGGCCATCTGTCTGGTTCGGTTGAGAATTAAACCGCAATTTGGCCAAAACTCGGAATTACCCGGTGACCCGCCATAACCCGGGACGGACCCGACCCGTCTCACACCCGGAAAATACTAAAAACCCGGACAATATGTTGCCAACGGGATTCGACCTCGCGCCCAATGCTAACTAACGTGTTACGGCAACTTGTTGGTTACTTTTGTTGTTTAGCAATACTTATACATTATTAGGCTGGATATTTTTATTAGTATTTAATAATTAGTTTATTAACTAATTAATATATAACAAAAATACTAATACGTAATAAATACACATCAATGCTATTATTATATTTCCCAATTATGTTTATAATGTTCCAACATTTTTTTAATTTTGTAGTTAGTAATATGTGTATATTTAGTATCCATCTAGGTCTCAATGTATTTTAAATTTAGTAAAAATCAATATACTTAAATACATTAATTCTTTTTACATTAATTATATTGTATTATCACTATTAAATTATCATGAATGAATATAATTTTCTAATAATGAATTTAATCTTTAAAATAATTAATTAATTATATGTAATGTTGTTGACCGGGTTTACCAGTCGTTGACCGGGCTGACCCGCCGGGTCCGGGTTGACCCGTGCCCCGATCATTTGTCCGGGTCGCTCTCCGGTCCGGTTCTTACACAGATATATTCACAAATAAAATATTTCTTTTATGTTAACAATATTAAATTGATATAAAAAAATGAAAAGGAAGCATTGAACACACAATGTACTTTTTTTCATTTTACAATCTCCAAACTCAATATATTTATTATTTTTCTTGACATTTTAAATATATACTTTTATTTATTTAAATTCATAAGGATAAATTTGCTCCCAAACATAAACATGAACTTTAGGGACATTTTTGTACCTTTCAAAAGATTAGGGACATATATACACATGGAGCTAAAGGTCAAATATATATTTAATTTGCATCTTTCCCCTTTACAAAACAAGTGCAAGATAAATTATTAGGAGAACGGGGGATTGGACAAAACAACCCTCATATAGTACTCCTTTCGTCACAAAATAAATATTCCACTTTGACTGTTAGAGTACCTAAAATGTTAGGTACTCTAAAAGAAACCCTCCTAAGGATTAGTAGCTAAAATGATACCATACCTGCGTGTGATCTGTCACGCAATGCTTCATTTTCTGTGTTTTCTGCAAGTCAAATTCGTCATCAGTAGCAGTTACAACTAACATGTCTTTCTCAATGCCACCCAATGTTGCCCATTTCTTGAATTCATCACTCGTGTTAAGGATTGCTAAAAAATACTGAGCAAGCTCTACTTCACCATCTAAACATTCTTGGATTGCACCTGAAAGAGAACCCCCAATCTGAGAAATTGATTGAAAACTGGTCACTACCATGGAGAGACTAGTTACTGCAATGGAAAGAATATTCACCGCCTTTCATCAATTTAACTAGGATGCCCCCCTGCTAAGTACACATATTTTTTAACTTATGCTTTTACCTTCTCTTTCACGATATGGAAACAGCAATATTTATGTTATCATAGTAGTAGAAGTAAAAAAACAAACATTTTCAAAAAATAAAAAAATGGGTACCTGTAAGAGCTAGTTTGCAGCAGAGCTCAGCATCCGGGATATGAGGTGGCAAAATACCCGGCGTGTCCAGCACATAAATATTAGGATGGCTAGCAATCTCATTTAACAAATCAACATGAAATTGCTTGTCAAGGAGTGATCGAAGAAAGAAATGACTAGTTAAAATTAAGTAGGTAACTAATTAAAAGAAGTTGGACCCAAGGATTTTTAGTAACGTCACATAATTGGAAGCTAAATGAGTAGAAAATATGAAACTCCATCCACTTCCAATCAGTTCAATGGATATCTAGGAATATGAAATTGATGAATGAATCTTATAAATAAATAAATCATTCATTTAGACAAAAGAATGGGAAATATCAAGCACCTTAAAACTGCTAATGTTTTTAGTCTCCCCAGGCTGAGGAGTTACTGCAGCATGTTTTAGTCTTCCCTTCTCTTCCAATCAACGTAATATATGTGTTAGAAAGTCATAAGGGGTTATTTTTTAGCAAGATATCTCAAAAAGGAGGTGTACCTGCGGCACTAATTCGCCCAATCAGATGCAATGAGTTCGCAAGTGCAGATTTCCCAACATTAGGAATACCAACAAGCATTAGTGTTATAGTATGTCGAGAATAGCCGGTATTTATTAGTTCTCTTACTCTAGCTTGCAGAAATGTCAAGAACTGTCAAAATGTAGGCAATACAGTAATATTAGTGCCCATTAGTTTATAGTGTGTCGGGAAATGGCTCTCTGGTCAGTGGTCACTTATCACTATGCACCTCCTTTATACTATCTCTATTATGAGAATTGACTCGAAATGCTATATCATCCTGTCCTTCAAAATAATCCATCCATTGCTGCATAAAAGCGATGAGAGCAGTCAGCAGAAAATTGTACATCAGCTCAAAATAAAAAGAAATGAAATTTCTGAAACAGAAAATGGATGGATGGGTGGGTGGGTGGGTGGGTGGGTGGGTGGGTGGATGCAAAAGATCCTTTAGGCAATGTTCTAAAAGGCGCCACCAGGGACGGAGCTACTTGTTGGGCTAAGGGGGCCATGCCCCCCCACCCCATTTCATTATTTTTTTTCTAAGTACCATTATTATAATATTGTTTGGCCCCCCTCCAAATAAAATTGTGAAAGACTAGTTATCAAATACTACTAATACTTTTTGTTATCAATTAATATTATATGGAGTAGTAAGTATTAATTACTTGATATAAAAGCCAAGCCTCTAGTGAAATTTATTACTAATATGAAATTATCAACAATTATATAAATCATGTGAAAAATTCACAAACTGAGTTTTAATTGACCTACAGTTAATTTGTAATTTGAATATTATACATGAATATTAGTATTGGCGTATCATTTTATATTGGTACAATGTAATTATATTTTATAGAAAGATATGCATTTTTAATCTTGTAACTTTCGACTATGATCTTTACTAGTCGGGCAACTTTACTCTTGTAATTTTGGTCTTGTAACTAATATAACTATGCCATTTTAGAACTTGTCCACTAGAAAGTAAACTTTATGACAGAAAATTCGACGCCGACAGCATATTTTCCGGTACTTTTTGTCCACCTTAGGTTATATTTTTATGATTGTATTATACTACGTATTATGTCCCCTCTTGCACTCAAGTCTGGCTCCGCCCCTGGGCGCCACCAAGGCGGACCTAAGCGCAAGGCGTATTGAAAACACCTTGCATACCTACTAGGCGCGCTAAAAGGCATCCCAATTCATATTCACCATGCAGGAGAGATAGACCGGTTTGATTAGGCCCACACAAGCTGAAGCATGAATAGTAAGCCAGGAATATACTCTGTAAGACTGTAACAATCAAGAGGAGCCTTATATAGACAATGTGGAAGGACGGGTTCTTCAATTTCTCCGGTGTGGGAAATATGTAACATACTAAAGGGTTGAGAAGCCTCACAGCTTAACAACGTAACTACTAAAATTAAGACATTTTCAAACACTACAATGTAACTACTAAAATTAAACTAGTAAAATTAAGATGATTTTCAACCTAGTAGTGAAATTAAGACATTGAAATTAAGCTTACAACGTAAACCACCATTCACATAAAGTACCAGCTACCATTAAGGACATTGAGTGTGACATAAAATTAACCAAAAAAAATTATGCTACTAAATATTACTCTGTACTTCATATTAAAATGAAGGGAAAGATTATATGAAAATGGCTAAATGGTCATCGCAGTAACTTCAGTCAAAAAACTTATTTTAATTTTTCCTCAATTCAACATGCGAAATCAAAAATTACTTATGTAATCAAAATGTTGAGCAATGAAGCTAATAAAATGAGAATATGAGTTACCAAATTGGCTCTAGAACACACGTGTAATATATATGTAGTAATTATTAAAATTACCTTCACCTGTGAGGGACTTGCAAGATCTGTTTTGTTCAAAACTATAATTCGCCTGGTGGAAGTTGAATGCTTTTTCAGTAGTTTGAATTTTGATGACAAAGGGATCTGAGCATTAGGAGGAAATGCACTAAAATATCAGAGATTGTAAAGAACTTGTCCTTATATGACCTGAATTCAGTGCATGAATTGGTTGGTATAAATGACCTTTATAACCAAAACTGTCAGCATCTCTAACCATGCCAGTTCATTCAAACATTTCATCGAGCACTTGACAGTAATCCTGGAAAACAAAGGGAAGCTCGAAGCCTATAATACATACCCTAGCATCCCGGACTTCAAGAACGAAATCGACTAGCGGTATCCTCTCTGCAATGGCATGAGCCGCGGCGGCGGCGTGAGGGGTGTACCACCAGCTCGAGCTTTTGTTCTCTGCTATATTCTTGATTGCACTCCCTATCTTGCGAGCTACACTTGGCAGTAGGAATTTCATGAGGCCTACTAAACAATGCAACGCGGGTTCACTTCAGTGTTCACCTGTATCTATAGATATCCATGCAATTCAACCCAAATATATGAACGAAATCTCGAAAAAAATTCGAATGATAATAGCATAACAAATGAATGAGATGATGGGTCAGACTAGGTATGGATGATTATACATCCAACTGATCACCTGCTCCACCTATTCGATCGCCTGGCAGGTTTTCGGTCCGGGGCTGTTACCTAAAATTAACAGGAGAATTGGAGACTAGCGAGTGGGCGGTCTGGAAGGACATGTGGAAATGGAAACTAGCCCACTTTTCGGGCAAATTTGCACCGGATGCCTCCCAACAACTGCATCTTTGCGGCAGAGAAGAGTTCAGTGTGCGGAGATGTGTGGTTTATGCGGAGCTCAGGAGGAATCTTTGCTTCATCTCTTCCTTTTTGCCCGGTCGCAATGCAAGCGTGGTCTTCTATAGGTTGGCAGCCGCTGGCCAGACAGAAAGCAGCTTTTGGGATTGGCTGCAGCGGTTTTTTTTTTTGGCCAAGAAAGGGGATGATTTGCTGGGAGTAGCTTGGGGATGTTGGGGTCTTTGGACAGAGCGAAATCAGAGAATTTGGCAAGGGGAATCGCTTGAGCCAGCTCAACTCATGTATAAGGCGAAAGCTTTTGCACAGGAGGCGACCGACTAGCGGGCGGAAGAGGGTGAATGTTGATGCTTCTACTGGTGGCAGCGGGCAGCCGTTATGGATTAGGCTGGTGCGGGGGAGCAAGGCCTTGGGAGTCCGTATATCTTACAATGTAGGGATCCGTTAGGTTCTGGTTAAAATTCTATGGAACAGTATAAAAATTGTAGAGTTTAAATTCGGTTCGGTTCTAGTTAAAAAAATGGTTGTTAAATTCGGTTCGGTTCTTACCTTTTTTTGGTTCCATATAATTTTATTATCCTCCTGAAATGAACACATTTTACCTTCAGTTAAATAAAAAATTCAAACTTTAAATCATTAAATTATGACCATTACATTATACATTCATGATATCTCAATGTTCAGATAAAAAAAAAATATATATCCAAGTGTAACATTAAATTTCAACATAACAAAAATCTCGGATTAAAATAGGCATCAACAGTCGAGCAAAAAGGTTTGATATCTCCAAAGTACACATTTAATAGCTTGTAGTTCAACCTCAGAATAATATTCTTCTACTAGTAATGCACAATAGGTAAAATGTACGTAGTAATAAACAACGTAATCAATAGAATATTAATTCATTTTCAGATGAACTCCAATACATTTACATTTACAAACAAAAAATAAATATAAAAGTGGACTAAAGTATTCAAATAATTAGTTGGATTGGTCTGGTCCACAATATATAAGGTATATTATGCAAGAAAATATTCTTGACAAATAATTACTCGGATTGGCCCGGAACGCCGTCTCACTATCTCCATTTGAGGTTCTTCCATGTAGAATTTTTTGATGAAATTTTGTGAGTATGTTCTACATGAAATATAGATGATATATTCCAAATTTCAGCTTAACATTCAATCAAGAAGTGAATTAAATAAAGTATTGAAAAAAATTGCGTATTTATATATGTTGGCATACTATTTTTCAATAATTTATTTAACTGACTTCCTGATTACATTTTAAGCTCAAATTTGGTGGACATAATCTTTATTTCATGAAAAACATGCTCACCAAATTTCATCAAAAAATTCCACTCAGAAGCACCTCAAATGAAGATTACTCAGAACCATACTTGTCACGGCGTTAAGGCGAGTCGCGGCGCCAGCCAGCCGCCATATCGCCTAGGCGACAAGGCGCCCGCCTAGGCGACAATTAGGCGACTTGTCGCACAATATATATAATTATAATTTATATATAATATAACATTCTATTTAACTATACTTAATTTGTAATTTAATTATTTATTATATAAGATATATTATGAATGCAATTGTATATTGCCAAATAATTTATTAATATATTAATATACCTAATTGATTAATATACAAGTTATTTATTTCAATATTAATATACCTAATTTATTAATTTATTATATATCTAATTTATTAATATACAAGATATGCATTGCTAGTATATATTGTAGTGTGTCTATACATACTGTATACTGTGTACGAAATATACATATATTATATTAAAATTAAACTATGTAAAATTGTACTCCGTAGTGGGTATACTGCTTAGAAGCTGTTCCGTTCACCTGATCTGAATGTTTCTGATCTGAATTTTTTAAGTTCTGATCTGATCTGAATTTTTCTGATCTGATCTGATCTGAATCTTTCTGATCTGATCTGATCTGATCTGAATCTTTCTGATCTGAATCTTTCTGATCTGATCTGAATGTTGCTGAACTGATCTGAATGTTGCTGATCTGATCTGATCTGAATTCTTCTGATCTGAATCTTTCTGATCTGATTTGAATATTTCTATAATTGTAATTGTAATTACAATTATAATTATTAGATTTATAATTGTAATTAAAAATATAACTTAAATAAAATTACAATTATAATCATAATTATAAAAAAATAATAATTAAAATTAAATTTAAAATTATAATAATTATACCAATTACACTAATTATAAATACAGATACAATTATAAATGTAATTATATTTTTAATTATTATTAATTTTATAATTATTATTATTGTAATTATAATTATAATATTTATTTCTATAGTCATAATTATGTCTATAATTACTAATTTAAATATATAATTACTCCGAATTAATAATAATTACAACAATAACAACAAGAACAACAATCATATTAATAATAATGATGATTATAATTATAATTACATTGTAAATCATAATTACAATTATAATTATAAATATATTATATTATATTATATTATATTATATTATATTATATTATATTATATTATATTATATTATATTATATTATATTATATTATATTATATTATATTATATTATATTATATTATATTATATTATATTATATTATATTATATTATATTATATTATATTATATTATATTATATTATATTATATTATATTATATTATATTATATTATATTATATTATATTATATTATATTATATTATATTATATTATATTATATTATATTATATTATATTATATTATATTATATTATATTATATTATATTATATTATATTATATTATATTATATTATATTATATTATATTATATTATTATAATATAATAATAATTTTATATTATTAACATTATTATTATATTATTATTAATAATATTATTATATTAATATATTAATATTATTAACAATAACTATAATATAATAATCATAATTAATATAATAATAAAAGTGATAAATCATGTTTGAATTTTTTGACCTGATCTGATCTGAATGTTTCTGATCTGATCTGAATGTTTCTGATCTGGTCTGATCTGGTCTGAATCTTTCTGATCTGATCTGAATGTTGCTGATCTGATCTGAATCTTTCTGATCTGATCTGAATGTTTCTGATCTGATCTAATCTGATCTGAATCTTTCTGATCTGATCTGATCTGAATCTTTCTGATCTGATCTGATCTGAATAAAATAAGATTAAGGAATAAGTAATAAGATTAAGACGAACGGAACAGCTTCTTAGTGGGTACACAGTATTAATATTAATACTTAATATTAATATATATAGTGGAATAAGAAGTCTGATAAAGACTAAAGTGATAAGATGAATGACCGATAAAGATAAAAGGCTGGGAAGGGCACACGTCGTCTTCAACCTTGCGATGCAGGAGTGCCAGGAACGCATCAACTACAGATCCCCTACTCGTCTTCAACCTTGCGACAGAGTCACAAATAATCAGAGAATTTACGACTAGCGATGCTTCGCCTTTAGGAGTCGTCGATTAAGCTTCGAGTTTGAGAGTCGATGATTGTTCTTTTGGGTTGGGCTTCAAAAAACGAATTTATTGAGATTTCAAATCTCCCCTGGCTTCACGCCAAGACTGCGCTTGGACGACATATTCACGCCTAGGCGACACCGGAGGCAACTAGTCTTCTTCCGGCGAGTCGATCTCCCTTGGCGCCCCTTCTCCATCGCCAGGACGCCTAGTCGGCGCCTAGTCGACGCCGTGACAACCATGCTCAGAACCGAACCGGAACCGAACCGATAAAATACTATAGGAACCGAACCGAAAAAAGCTCAAGTCCAAAACTATAGGAACCGAACCGAACCAGAAATTTCGGATCGGTTTTCCGGTTTTACGGTTCCAAGCCCCACCACCCCTTAATACAATCTGTGATATGGTGCCTGTTTTTTGATGTATTCTTCCTGATGGTGTACAAAGCATAGTGGATGTTGCCACTATTCTCTCGATATCTAATCTAAAAAATTATAATTCTCAATGGGTAAAGTTATTTTGGATTTAAAAAATGTGTTGGTACCACATGTTAAAATGAATCTAAATCTAAAAAATTATAATGGTGAATGAAGGTGAGGTTATTTTGGATTTAAAAAATGTGTTGGTGTAACCACATGCTAAAATGAACTTGAAACGTATGCATAAACTTGTCAGCTACACTCCGTAAAACGCATCGGCTTCTTTGGTTATCTCGCTTTATACTCCGTATCTATCTCTATATAAAAAGAGGTGGAAAAACAGGTGGTTTTCCCGCCCAAAGTGCCGGGTCAAAAATGGGTCGGGTAATAAGGACTGCAGTGGTGCATCTGTGCATTGGGATGCGATGTGGACCACATTAATTACGGAGTAATTTAAAATATAGCTCGGTCCAACAAAAATGCCAACAAAGTCAAAGATGTTGAGGATTGGATTTGTGTGACCCGAGGAGCATTAAATGCTAAATGTAACGTTTAACTCCTTTATAGGTAAACGATCTTATACCTTTAGATTTGTCCGATATTTAATTAGTTTCAAATACTACCTCTGTTCCATTTATATTGGGATTGGGACGAAAGAGGGTGACACGGTTATTAAGAACAGTGGATTTGTATGGTAGATATTAATTGATAAAGTAATAATAAAGTAAGAATGATTTAGAGCCATACAAACTTTGCCAAATATGGTATGAGATAATTTAAGTGGGACTTCCCGAAAAGGTAAAACGGGACAATATAAATGGGACGGAGGGAGTATACACAAGGAGCATTAATTGATGCGCTGTTTACAAAGCTATGAAACGTGATTGATGAGTAAATTTGAAGAAAGTGGATGTATGGTCTAATCTTAATCGTATTGACCAGAAAAAATTGTTTGAATTATGGAGTATTATTTTGTAGGCTTAAAACTGCACAACAACTTCAGAGTACTATAAATACGACACTTCATTCTCATTTTTCCCCCACAACAAAGTTCAAAGCATTGAAAGTCAGTTTTTTTTTAGCTTATGGCATTGCTGCGCATGCGAAGGGTAAACTGAGTTGGTTTGGCACGATAAAGAGGTATACACTCTAATTCATTATTATTTCTGTAATGATTTATCAGATTAATGTATTTAAATTACAATAGTTGAACAATTATTGCTAATATGATATGATGTGACCACTTTTATGGGGGGTCACATTCATGCAGACATGGAGTTGTAAACGGCCTCAGATTGGTCTATTCAAGTGGAAGATGAAAGAACACAATGTTCTCAGGTAACCATCTTACCAAATGAGTTCCCAGGTTTTCTATACGGCATCCAACACTTTGAAATACTTCAAGCCCAGAGAGTTGTAAATGACAAGTTTCTTATAGATACACATTTATATATCATTATTTTAATAGCAATTTTGTACTCTAATAAAATGTTCCTTCTTTTTGAATGGTAATTGGACGCTGCAAGGCATGAAATCAATGGAGCTGTCACTTGAAGACAATGTAATTTTTAGAAATGTCATGGCAAAATGTATTTTGTGCTAGTGGGTACTGTGAAACGGTCTATCAAACCCACATCTCCGAAGGCCGCCGATGTAGCTGACAGGGAATCATGTAGCCCTATGCTCAAGTGGCCAACTATCTACTAATTGGCCTTCACAAACAAGAACTATTCTTCAACAACAAGTAGTATTATCACCAAACATTTTTGAATACTTGGTATATATTTAAGCTAACAAGCATATTTCCTAAAATACAGTTAAATTAGTTCTGTATGATACACTATTTTTGTATAGAAAAACAGTTCACTATTACCATTTCGTAAAAGCTCAACCCAGCCCACACTTTTTATTATTGAGATTAGAAAATTAAGTTTCTTGGTGGAAACATATTAATATAAAAAACAGTTTTATACTTCCTCCGTTCTTTTTTAGTTGCAACGGTCAACATTTCACACTTGCCAACGCACGTCTTTGACCGTAATTATATCTTAATCTCTATTAGTAAAAAATATTTAAAAATTAGTTTTTGAAAATTTGTAATGAGATGAATTGAACAATACTTTAAAAAAAAATCATAAAATAATAATATAAAATGAAGTCAAAGTAGGATATGTGAATAGTGTAAAATTCAACATGTTGCGATTAAAAAGAGACGGAGGATAGTACTTCAGATTATAAATATAAAAAATAGAGTTTTATTATAGAATTATAGTCCAATAAACATGACTGCATTGTAGTAATTTAGTATAACACCGCAATCAAGTACTTTACTAAAACAAGCGTGGTACTCAAAGAGATTTGAAAAACAAAATTATGTTTCAATAAATAGCATGGTATCAAATATATCAGATTTTTAAAAATAAGAATAGGTGTGTGTATATATTCTAATGCCAAAGGGTGTTTTTAAAACCATAACCAGTAACATTTAAGGCTTTGATTTAAGCTTGGTTCATGCTCCGTATATAATATGATACTATAATATAAGCTTGGGTAGATATTAGATTTTTAAAGTACTATAGAAGAGGTGTAGAAAACGTAATCATTTTCAATAAACATTAGGGCATTTAATATACAGAGTATTACTATGTACAGTTAACAATAAGAGTATGCGTATATATATTGAATATAACAATAATAGGCTTATCTAATATTTTAGTAATTTATATTTATGAACAATTGTAGTATTATAAAATAACAAAAGTACGTTTTTAATACTATAAATTTAATCGGATAATAAGAGGGGGCTTTAGATGAAATCATGAAATGTAAGAGACAATGTACGTTTTTTTTTTTTTTTTTTTTTTTTTTTTTTTTTTTTTTATGAAATGTAAGAGACAATGGTAGTGCATGTCTCATTCAGAAAAGATACAAGTGTGCATGCTTCACTGATGCGAAAAAATACATATCTGAAATTAGTCCTGCAGTAATTTTAATTGAAATTCGTCGAGTTCATGCATGGCTATTAGAAATTAGTAATGCAGTAATTTATTTAAGTATGGAGGTACTCCGTAGTATTTAAATATTTGTGATTTGTTATTTGCATTGCAGTGTCTTATTTGCCATTTGATTTTTCTCCGAGTATGGGGACAATTAAAGTCAAGTTACCGATGTGCGTGTGGCGAAGTATCAGTGCATATACAATTATACATCATGTACTTCAATCACAATCACATCAGGACGAAGGAGCTATCGTTATTACTATTATCTTCTCATTTGACTTTTTATTATTTTGTTAAATTATAGACTTTGTTAACAATAATTTGTACTAATGTTGCTTCAAACTTCTCCTTCTACACACAATAAGTGTGGTACTGTGACATTGGCGACCCATCACATAATTGTAATCACTGTGCAGCACTCATTTGAATTGAGGAGAGAACTCTTTTGGCTTGAGCTATGGGTGGACTCGGTTCGGGCCGGGGCCGGTTCGGGCCTTGAACCGGCCGGGCCTCGGTTCACCAAAAGGAGGGCCCAGACCCGAACCGGTGGCTCCCGGTTCTGGGCAAGGCCACCCCGGTCATAATTTTTTTTTTTCGCTTCTCTTATTTAACCCCCTATCCCTCCCCCTCAACCCCAAACCACCTCAAATGGCCCAAAATACCTAATCCAACCCAAAACTTTAAAAAAATTCAAAAAAAAAAAAAAATAATTCCGGGCCGAACCGGGCCCGAACCGGCCGGGCCGGTTCACCAAATGGAGGGCCCGGGCCCGGAACCGGTATCCACCAGGCCGGTTCGACCCGAACCGCCGTTGGACCGGGCCACGGGGCCGGGCCGGTTGCTACAGTGGGCGGGCCGGGCCGGTTCCGGGTCGGGCCGCCCGGCCCGAGTCCACCCCTAGCTTGAGCCCTCCAGAACAGACATGACAGTTATCTGAAAGGATGTAAGTTGGCTCCCTTTGTTGCATGCAACGAAAAGTTATATTGCCAGAACTAAAGATTCTCATTATATTTTCCTCAATAGAACTCTATTTATGTATATCACATATATACGCTTTGCATTCATTTACACATTGACTAATACCGTTAACAAATAACATCATAGAATTATATGTTAATATATGTCCCGTGCATCGCACGGATGAAAATTTAGTTAAAGTTTAAATAAAAGAGTGGCTAACGATCTAGTCTAAACTCTGACGGGTATGGGTTAGGATCTTTTCATTTTCTACGCAAGGCTTTATATGGAATATTGACCCATACCTTTTA